GAATGAAGCATGAAGAAGTTCGATTAGCAATTACCTATCTGAAAAACAATAAAGCCGCGGGGGCAGATAAATTGTTGGCCGAGCTATTCAAATACGGCGGCGATGAACTGATAAGGAGCAGGCATCAGCTTCTTTGTCTAATGTGGTCGGACGAAAGAATGCCCGACGTTTGGAATTTAAGTGTGCTCTGTTCAGTACAAAAACAAAGAGACCGCACAATCTGCGACAACTACTGTGGAATAAGTTTCCTCAACATCGAATATAAGGTTTTATCAAGCATATTGTGTGCAAGATTAAACCTCACCGTCAACAAACTGATTGGACCTCATCAGTGTGGCTTCAGGCCTTAAAAGTCAACAACTGACGAGATAATCACCACGCGCCAATTCTTGGAAAAAGGATCGACACACACCTCCTCATCGCCGATTGTTCAAAGAAAGGCTACATAAATTGTTCAGATTGGACCACTACAGTACATAGTGGCCATGCACATCGGTTTAAATCAAGATAAAGATCTTTTTATGCTATAATAAAAACACCTGTGAAGGGTATTATATTTTCCCAACAGCCGAAGTTTACTTTATTCCCTTTTCTTTTTTTTACGCTTCACCTTACTAACTGCCTTAATAATCTTATTTGCTCGCAAAGTTCTATGGTTGAATTTTAGAATGGCAATTCAATTTTTTTATTTTTTCGCAATTTCGTAACTCATTGAAATTCACAACATTTGTTTGACACTTCTTTTCATTCATTTTGACTACTCGCCATTATCTCTCCAAATAATTTGCATAACTGAACCTTTCTGCGCCGCTATGCGCTGTTGCCGCATTGTATTGAACATTCACTCCGCAGGTAGCCCACTTGGAACGCAAGCAAATCACAAGGCCTTTACTTACTTGACTGTTTGCAGCATAATTTCATCTTTAATAAAGCGTAGTCTTGAAGTAAAAAGTGTAGAGAAAAGCAAAAAGCGCTTGCCTACCGCATAGTGAAAGGGAAGTGTGATAATGATGCCTCAAAATTGACTAATGAGTAAGAAAGTAAGGCAAGTTTGTTGGTGAAAAAACCAGACCTGCTGAACTTCTGGGCGCTTAAATGTCTTAATTGCTCAGAAAAAACACAAAGTAAATGCTTGTACCATTGCTTGTAGTTGTTTGTGTAGAGCAGGCAAACTTTAAAGAATAGCACTGTGCCAAACCAGTGGCTATTATTGGTAAAAGACCTCAGGTGCTTCATTAATTAAATGCGGCACATCACTTATTAAGCTATTCTTCAAAATTATTTGTAACTGACAAATTTCAATGATACGGACCAGCAGATGTAACACTATATCCAGTTGGAACCGCTTAAAAGCGCTTCTTATGAGTTAGATGCCTTAAAAAGTAACTAACGAGAAATTTTAAATTCTCCAGATCAGTCGTAAGTCTAGTTTATATAATAAATATGAAAAAAAAAATATAAACACATACATACATACAAAAATATTGGTAAAGACTTAAATCTTCGTAGGTACTCTTTCATTAATTTCCCTTTACATGCGTTTTTGAGTCAGTTCCGGTCTCATAACTGTCTTGACTGGCCTTGGTAGCGACATAATTATATTTAGATAAATATATAGTATACATATGAATGTAGATATATGCATTTATTATTATTTACTCGTACATATACATAATTGTTTTGTAATTTTTGATTAATTCACCCATAGAATATACTCTCCAGTATACTCTGAACAAAGAACTTAATTTATTCACCGCGAAATCTGTAACAACCAGAAACAAACGTCAGAGACCCTTTAAAATATATGGTTGTCAAATATCTCCCTTCCGCTTTTTTGCTCATTACATAATGCTTTGTAAGAAGTGTTACAGTGAACGGATTTAATTCAAATATTAGCCGTTTCGTTCCATCTCAATTCAATCTGTTTCCATCTAGACGGCAACTTTATAATACCCCCCTCCTTATTTGCGAAGAACTCGGACGGCCACTTTTCACAAGCTTCTTTTGAGTTTCACCTTACATCAACAAGGCCATTCGCTATGGACAGGAACAGGTGGTAATCACTTGGTGCTATGTCCGGGTTATATGGTGGATGCGATAAAACCTCCCATCCGAGCTCCTGTAGCTTCTGATGAGTTGTCGACGACGTGTGTGGTCTGGCGCTGTCCTTGTGGAACGCTACACGCTTTCTGTTGACCAATGCTGGACGCTTCCGGTCGATCGTCTGTTTCAAGCGGTCTAGTTGTTCGCAGTGGATGGTAGAACTAAACGTCTGCCCATATGGGAGCAGCACATAGTGGATGATTCCCTTCCAATCCCACCAAACACACAGCATACCCTTCCTGGCCGTTAATCCCGGCTTGGCCACTGTTTGAAACGATTCATAGGCCTTCGGCCACGACCGTTTTCGCTTCATATTGTCACATATGACATTTTTCATCAACAGTCACCACCCGCTTCAAAAGTGGTTCGAGTTCGTTCCGTTTCAGCAGCATATCGCAGCCATTGATTCGGCCCAGAAGGTTTTTTTGCGTCAAATCATACGTCACCCAAGCATCAAGCTTTTTTTGTCTTCAGCCTTCAACAGCTGGTTTAAAATGATTTTGTGACTAACTCCCATCTTCTGGGCGATGTAACAAGATGCCACATGCCGGTCTAAATCGATGTTTCCATGATTTGATCGGGATTCGTCGTCACAGGTCTTCCGCCAGCTGGCTTATCCATGGTGTCATTTGCACCCACTCTGAATCGTCGAAACCATTCCTCTGCAGTTGGAAGTGATACAGTACCATCCCCAAAACGCCATTAATCTCACGGAACGTTTCTCTAGCGGATTTACCTTTAACGAAGGCAAACTTTAAAAAGCGGAAATTTCGACATTAGTCATGACATGTTTACACGTCTATAACTGTTGAACGCAATATACAAACTAATCATGCATAGCGTCGTTTTGTAGGTTATGCCAAGACCTTTCAAAGATGTATAGTATTGTCAGATACGAGCTCTGTATCTTTATACATAACCGCGAAATGATATTTGACAACCTAATATTATATTAGGTTGTCAAAAAAGTCTTGCGATATTTTTATTGAATTTTAAATTCTTCATAAATTTTTTTTCGATGACTCATGCCCAGCTCTTGACCGATGCTACGGCTGCTACTATGCCGGTCTCTTTCGACCAATTCAGCGATTCAATCGCAATTTTCGAAGACAGGCCTTCCGGAGCGTGGCGCATCTTCGACCACCTCTACACCAGAACGAAAACGTTGAAACCGTCGTTGTGCGGTGAAAATGGAAACTGTATCGGGCCCATAACCTGCACAAATTTTATTGGCGGCTTGAAATGCATTTTTGCCTTTATCGTAGTAGTACTGTAAAATTTGCCGTATTTTCTCTTTATTTTGCTCCATGTTTGAGACGCTATAACTCACAAACGACTTAAAAGAAACGACAATCAATCAAACACGTGTTAGCGCGTGAAATGAGCTTTCCAAAAAGGTATAGCATGAACCGATGCGACGAATAGAACTAGAACTACGCGCTCTCAGCGCCAACTAGCGAAAATACCGCAAGACTTTTTTGACAACCAATATACACATACATACATAAAATAAATAATATTCATCTGTTTGTCTGTCCGTCTGTTTGTATATATGCGAACTACTCTCAATTATTCAGACATCGATTTGAAATTTTGTACAACTCCACTTCCCTTCAAGAAGCTGAAGTTGATAGAAACCACCGATATCGAACCCCTCTACGATATAGCTGTCATACAAACTGATCTATCAAAATAGAGTTCTCATATGAAAAACTTGTTTATTTTACAAGATGTCATCACATTATTAAATTATTTCCGAATCCGTCGACACAATATTCAAAGGTATGGCTTAGATCGGATCGCTATAGCAAATAGCTGTCATACAAACTGACGAACAAAATGAAGATAAGAATTCTTTCTCAAGCTTTTATGCTATAAAAAATGCAACTGTATAGGGTATTATAGCTTGCGTGCAGCCGAAGTTAACATTTTTTCCTTTTTTATAAAATTATTTAGGCTATTGCTTATTTAAATGTGGATCATGATAACATAATGGGTATGCATTATATTTAAATAAACGTGTGCTATCCATTATTATGAAAATTTTGTTTAAATATCTACACGCAACATTTCCTACACATGTTTATCCAGATGTACATACATACATACATACATGTATGTACATTCCTATATGCATACTCATATCGAATTTACATTACTTCAAAGCACTGTATTAATTGAAAATTTGTATATATACATACATAGATATGTATGTTTTCATTTTCGTACTAAATAGAGCATATAAGCAAATAAAAGAACATACTGGTCATAAATACATACATGCATACATACATACAACTCAGGTAACAATACCAGCTGACATTATTTGCTTGCATTTCCATAATTTCACTTAAACAGCAGAATTTTTAACTTGCTTTAACTCACTTATATAGATACATATTCTAAAAATATATCAGCCGGCAAAAACAATTATATAAAACTCTTTAATAATAATAATTTTGATTTATTTGACCAGCTTTGCAATTGTTTCAACAACTTCACCAACGACTCCGCCGCATAGACAACGCATGTTTTATATTTTCGCACACACTTGCCTAAATGGCTTATAAAATGACTATTTTCTTAGTTTCACACAATATTTTTGCATAAAATTATGTTTATTGAAATTCCAAAATCACAAAATCCGAAGAACTTTAACGAAAAAACACTTGCAACAACACAGCTGACATTTTCAATCGCCTTACATATGTGGTGGATTAAAAGTCATACGAAGAAAACAAAAACGATAAGTAAACAAAAACAAATGACAGCCTGACTCATACGGCGTGCAAGGCGCACTTGTACACACACTTATAATATATGTATATGTATAAATCCATAAGTCAAAATTTACTATGTACCACATATGTATTTATATAGCTTTTTTACACACTTACCCCTCTCAGCTGACGATGCATTTGGCGTTGACGTTACTGACAGCGCTGCTGACGCCGACGTTGCCAACGACTTCGGCAAGGATATTGACTTGGGCGTGTTGTTGCCGAGACTTTTTGCACTGACACCGGCACGAGCGATACTCAAGCGCTGTTCTTGCGACACTTTCTGTGATAAAATAGATTCGTTTTTACACACTTTGAATTAAAAATATTCTTTACGCAACTTAATAGTAACACACAATGTAAAACAAAAATAGCAAATGAGATATGTACGTATTTAAAGCGAATAATGCTTTGCAATTGCATTGCGCGGATACGAGTGCGCACACATACACAAATACACATAGACACACCTCTTCGCGACGCCGCCTACGTTTCGCAGCCGGCCCCTCCTCACCATAAACGTCAGCGCTGACAGCCGGCATGCCCGCTGCTTGTCGTTGCTGCCAATAATGTTGTTGTTGCTGTTGTCGCACCCGTTTTATCGGCAGCGCGCAGCGTCTGCGTAGAATTTTGTCCGCATTCCGTACACAACGTATGAACTCGCAGCACATCTCCAGCGTGTGGCAGCAGTCAAGACAGATGTGCTGAGGCAGTTCATTGTCCGCCAGTGAAGCGCCTATATGCGCACAAGCATTCAAACAGTCGAGCAGAGTGCTGCTGATACTACCAGTAGTACTACTACTACTACTACCACCACTACTACTACTGCTGCCAGTGCGGCTGTTGTTGTTGACAGGGCTTGTTGTTGACATTCTATTGACTTTATTGCCTTTGGCCGGGGATGTCCTGGTCAACGCTGGCTTGTATGAGTCACCAGCGTCCGCCGACGTCGCAGCTGCAAACCGGTCGTCGCTCAAATCCACCATGGCCAAGGTGTCCAACGGCACAAACTCCAAGTGCGCGGCCTCATCCTCGTCCACCTCCTGTTCGGAGCACGATCCCAAAGACTGACGTGCCGCCGGCTGTTGTTCCGATAGGCAACAGCGACACATAATACGCTGTGACCGCGCCCGTTGTACTTTCGGCTGCTGCTGCTGCTGTGGGTTGGCCTGTGGCGCCATCACGCTTACACCACCTCCTGTCCCAGCCGCGCCTGTGGCAGTTGCTATACGCTGACTAACGTTTCGGCTGTATACTAACTTTGTCGCCTTGCAACGCTCCTCACTGCCGGCGGCGCTGTGTTCACTGTAATTTCCGCTCGTGCTGCTGGCGACGCTGCTCGTGCTGCTCACACTGTAACTCCTGCTGCCGCCCATTATTCCATTTGCATTTTGATTAATTTAGCAATCTAAACAGTTATTTTTGGTGCACCTGCCTGCATAAAGGTGTATTTAATTAATATTTGGCGTCCCGGCGTTTTTTTTTTGTTTGTTTATAAACAAAAATGTTAATTAGCACAAAGCGATTCGCGTCCGAACATTGCCGCTATCGAACCAGTGTTGTATTCGCACGACCGCACCGCACGAGTTTCCAATTCCATACGCACACGTCGATGAACAAATCTCTACTGGTGCAATGCTTACGAGCGAGCGTAAAAGCCAGCGAGCTGGCGTACGATGGCAATGACGATGCCGATGGCGAAGGCGACCTTGCTGCGCGCATATCGACCAGCTGGTACGCTACACCGATATGTGGTGGGCATGCGCACTGCTGGCAACAGCTGCTCACTGAGTGGCACTGCTGTTTGTGCGGACTACCCTAACCAATGTGAGGGCGATATAAAAAAAATATTAAAATTTTTATAAGTACTTGTATGTATGTAAAGGTGACCTACGCTGATGCATCGAGAATATGTAAGTAGTATGACTACACCAGTCATATAAAACAAACCGGAAGTGTGTTTAGCCGAAAAGGCTTGATCTATACGGTTATTAACTGGAATTTGAGAAGCCCTGCACGTATCACAATTATGACCGCTCATTGGAAAATGCTGACTCAAGATTTTAATTTTGAAATAAATTTAAGTTTAAGTAATAAATGATTTATCGATATTTTTTTTTAATTTTTATTATTTTTACAATGAAATTTCCTTATTTTTACAAAGAAATTTCTCCTATGGATTTCAGCTCAACAAATTCGACAAGAGTTACGTTAGACATACCGTTATGCGTAATGCGCTGAAAATTAAAAAAAAAAGTTAAATAATCGCTCTAGTATTACTCAGAACCAGCCCAGGTTGGCGAATCATCAAACTTCTAAATGTGATCCATTTAATGGGGAATGTTGATTATCCTTCCAAACAACATTATTTTGAATTTATTTTTTGAAGATTATCTCTTTCAAATGTTGTCCGCGGCTACGTCTCAGATGGTACGTCCGTTTAGTCCAATTTTCGATGACTCATTCGACCATTTCGACTGGCAACTGGGGAATGACACGCGTGATGTTTTGCTCCAAAGCCTGAATGGAAGCGGAATTGTCCGCATAGTCTTTAGACTCCATATATCCTCAAAGGAAAAAGTTTAACAGTGTGATATCACACGATCTTGATGGCCAATCGACCGGCCAATAAGGTGAAACTGGCTGCAAAGTTAATTCCAAACCAAATTCCAAATAAAAAAGTAAATAATAATTAATGCTCTCCCTAAAAACTTTCTGGACACAGTCCAAGCTTTCGAACTACTTCAACGATGCAACCTGACTCTCAAAACCAGCAGTCTCACTCTCATCTGACACACATGAGATTTATTTATTGTATCCGCCTAAGAACGTTCAAGCAGCAAATCGTCGCCAACTTTGGTAAGAAGCGCAAACCAAAATTGGTAAGCATATTTGTTGTTAGTGAGACGCGAAGTAGAATATAGCCAATTAACTCGAGTAACTTCTAACAATCTACACTGACATTCTGACCGTAGAGTTCATTATACTCGTCTATGACCGAATTTGGTGATATGTGTACCATATACTTACATATAAAAATCTCCGGTTATACGAATCGTACTCTTATTCGCACGAGTACTAAGCTAACTAACTGAGAGTGCTAGGTGATACGTCATACACGAGTGGTAACACACACACATGGATGCGACTTTCAATCGCAGTCGCAAAGTGAGACACACACACATACATACATATATGTATATGTATATGAATGCAATGAGTTGTAAAGCCGTTGGCGAAACTCTCAGTTATAAATTACTGAGACAACTTGCAGTTATGCCGGCTTAATGAATGGGGCTACCACAAAAATCCGTTGAAAGTATATATTTTTAGACATACGTAAGTACTGCATATGTATGTCCATTGTTGTGTATATATGAAAGTGAGGAAAATATACATAAGTGAAATGTAGGAAAAAGTTGGCAGTAAGAATAATTACTATATTGAAATTTTCAATTTGAAATAATAAAGAGCAAATGAAAATCGCATAACTTAGAAAAGAAACATATATGTATATGTATATTCAAATAAAAATGAAATTGAATATAAAATAAAATCATAAGCAAAAATAATACAAAGTAAAAAAATTAAAATTAAATAGCTCGAAACG